ATGTTGATTCACGAGCGACGAAGGAGCGAGTGGATTAATTTCACGAACAGGTAAAGCTTTTTCACCGTCGTGTGTAATATTCTATTTTATTCTTGAGCAACTTTTTATTTATCACAATTACTAAAATCATAGACTGAAATGTGCTAAAATCACAGCTAAAATTTTACATGGATTATGACAAGTTGATAAAGTAACAAACTGACACACACCTGACACATTTCTGGTGTTGTCAATCACAGATTCAATCATGCAACATAACCAACAGATTTCTGTCAAAAACTCTTTAATTATTTTTTTTTATTGATAACCTATTTCACTTATTTAAAGTACTCCTCAGCGTGTTTAAATCCAACATTCAAAAACGCGCTTGTTTTAAAGTTACCAATGACAACATCAACAACCAACAACCCGAGAAAGGTTTAAATGTCAACTTTTTAATTATTGAATTGTCAGGAGTAGGTTAGGTACTTGTAGATAACGTCAAATAAAATGTGACAAGTGTCAAGCACGAATGTAGCATTCTACAATTATTAGTAATTTTATGATTTGAACGTATACCAATAAAAAAAAATTGTGTAAAGTATTCGTGGATAACTGGTCTTTAAAACACTTGCTCTATTTCGAGCACTCCGGCTGCGCCGTCGTGCTCGAAAAATCGCGCGTGTTTTAAAGACCTTAATATCCACTTATACTTTAATATACTAATAAAGATTTGGACAAATGGGTAAAATTGATGTATGAGTGGGTAAAGTTGACAAATGAGTGGGTAAAAATTGTTCGATTCCACTACTTCAAATAAAGTGTTACTTTGACAACCATTTTGGAGTGAATTAAACGATAGTTTACCGTTCGCGATAGAATAAATAAAGTTTTTTGGGCATTTTTGTGTTTTTTTTTTTTTTTTCTGATCCACCTTTCACTTCAACATAGTCTGGTTATAGCAGTTTTACCAAACCCAAAAATAAAAATAATTTTAAAATAAATGAAGCTGCGGAGGTGAATGTTTTGGTAAATGTTAATCAAAATCCTAGAATTTCTACCAGAGAAATTGCTGGAGAAGCTGGTACTTCGTAAAGCACTGTGGTGAGAGTGCTGAGGAAACACAAATTCCATCTGTACAAGTTATCCGTGTCCGAAACCCTACGTCCTAGGAATCCTGAGCGACGTCTGGAATTCTGTATCTGGTTTAGGAATACGTGCCAGTACGTTCCAGATTTTTCAGTCAAAATATTATGAAGAGATGAAACCCGATTTACCAATTGTGGCATGTTTAATAGCTATAACGAACATTTATGGATACAAGAGAATCCACATCATGTAGAACAGAGAAGACCACAAGTTAAGTTTGGGTTTAATTTTTGGTGTGGTGTTTTGAGCTCAACACTTATTGGAGCATTAATTTTTGGAGGTACTTTAACAGAAGGACGCAATCTTCATTTTCTTAAAAATGCTTTGGAAATTACTTTGGAGAATTTAAACTTACACACCCTAAAAACTCTACAATGGTTTCAACATGATAGCGCTCCACCCCATAATTTTGTATTAATATTAATTATCTGGATAAAAGGTTTCCTAATTCTTGGATTGGACGCCCCTGTTTTATAGCCACCAAGATATCTCGATCTTTCGGTTTTAGATTTTTTTTGTAGAGAGCTGTGAAATACAGCATTAATAAAAAAAACTTATGCTACAATGGATGAACTTCGCGGTGCTGTAATTAAAGCTTCCAAAATATTGATGGGTGATCCCTGAGAAAGACGACTAATTCAGTTTTGAAAAGATGCAACGTCTGCATTAATAATAAGGGTGAAGTTTTCGAAAATGTTTTGTGAGATTTTAATAAAATGTCAGAATAATATAACAAAAAAAAATCCATAGCTACCCTATCAATGTCTTATTTTTTCTCCATATAGGTAACTAGACTACTACGTCGAAGTTAAAGGCCAATCTGATGAACAAAAAAAACAAAAATGTCCACAAAAACTTAATTTTTAAAAATAAAATAACCCTATCATATGCGATATCATTAGAATCGTAATAAAATTCTCTATTTATTGAGGACAAAATTAAGTATGGTTTTCATTTAAAAAAAAAAGTTTATGTCACATGTCAAAAATGACAGGTTCGACAAAAAACTGTTTATGTCATTTTATTGAGAATAAAATTTCTCAATACTTTTCTATTCAACATTTTCTTCTAAAATTGATATTTGCTGAACTAGGAGCGTGTTAAGAAATCGCCAAAAATCAGATTTTTGAAATATCTTTTGACAGCTGCCAAATTTTGGAAAACTGAAATTGGTTTTGAGAGTTGAGCCTTCCAAACTGCAATTCTTTGCTAATTTAAACTTTTTCGTATCTGCTATATTTTCCAAGATCCCCATACGAAACATCGAAAATAACTCACCCTATATAGGGTGTATAATAAAAAAACGGAATTTTGTTTATGAGTGGTAACTTCTTTTTCTGTTGACCAATTTCCTTTTGTTTTGGCTTGTTTGAAAGAGAATTGAACAGGCTCACGAATCAAAGTAAAATTTTTGAAATTTGAGAAAAATTCAAAATGGAGGACTTCTTCAGAAATTACCTAGTTTTAGATATGAAAAGTTGATATTCGATATTACAAAAATTTGAGTATTCCATTTAGTATCCAACCGATTTTTCCTGTCGAGGTCCAAAAATTTTCGCTATATGATAAATTTCAAGAATTTATTAGAAAAAGTTATACAGGGGGTCACAAAAAAGTTCCAACGTTTTCCAAAATTAGGTAATGTTTGAAGAAGTCCGCCATTTTGAGTTTTTCTCGAATTTCAAAAGTTTTGATTCGTTAGCCTGTTCATCTCTGTTTCAAACAAGCCAAAACAAAACGAAATTAGCCAATAACAAAAAAAGTTACAGCTCAAAAACAAAATTCCGATTTTTTTTTGGACTACGCTTATAATGTACTCACACGTGATATAAGGGTCTATTAACATATTATATTTCTTGGGTAGCAGGGGATGAAAGTGGGTGTTTTAGACTGGTGCATTTTGTAGGAAATTTTATTTACTTTAAATTTGTAGAGAACGCTCATCTTCAAAAAACGTATAGTTTTTGAGATACAAGCGAAAAACTGAAAAAAGTGCTGAAAAATTCAGATTTTTTTGCGTTTCTGGCTGATAAAGCGACCACGTACGCCCGGCAGACGGACGGTTTTGAAATCACCATGTGAGGTAGTACCGACATGTCAAGTCAAACGTTTGGTAAAAATGAGGTAGGTACATAGTTGTTTTTAATTCCAGCTCTCGAACTAAAACCTACCTTCACCTTTTCGCTAACCCCTGTACATACAATGCGAAATTTTGTATTCACAATAATAGCGTATTAATTTTCATAAAATGAGCTTTCAAAATCGAAAAAATATTCAAAATGTATCCGGCCGTGTCTATGCAACAGCGTTTCTAATCCGCTGACTGCCAGAAAAGCACTCAGGGGGCACTAATCCAAAAACGGAGAAATTTGTACCGATATATTGATCCAAAGTTTCAATTGATCAATTGTGTAACAAAACGAAAGCACACGACCCAATTGGCATAGCTTTCAAGAGAGCATTTACCATAATTTGCGTAATTTTAGGTACGTGATTTTTTCGACCCCTGTATAATTTGATGAGGGACATCCACAAGAAAAGCTATTGCGTTATGGCAAATCTACAGAAAAGGAGCTTTTAAAACACGAAATGCTGATCGATATCGGTTCAACTGTGGTTACGCAGCAGCATTTTGAAACATGCGTTGAAAAAGGACCCTTACCAGAAAACTAACAAAAATGTCTAGAGATATTGACAGCAGTTTATTAACGGTCCATACTGATTCGCGAAAAAAACATTATGGCCGAACAGGCACAGACCCCTAATTTGTCTATTGGTACATTACTTCATGAATCACCATGTATAACATAAAAATTACATTCCTTCTACATAGTTATTTTTCTATCTAGTGCGCGAAATGCTACTTTGGTGATCGAGATCTGATTTTTTTCAACGAGGCGCAGCCGAGTTAAAAAAATAGTCGTGTTGTATTAATTTTTTAGAAGACTAACGGCCAATTTCATAATCAACTTAAAGTAAACTTTAAATTTGAACCTCCATTTGAAGTTGAAAAATCCTATCCTAAAAGTCTATTTAGCTAAAGTAACTTTAAATTCGAAATTGACTGTTACGCCTCCCTTAATGTTGCTTTACACCCCCCCCCCCCCCCCCCCCCCCCCCCCCCAGTTTGGGAACCACTGCATTAGAGGATGGTGTGTCAAGAATCAGTTAATGAAAATTGAACAGGAATGAGTTTATTAGTGGAATGTGAGTCGAGTGACAGTGAGTTACGATTTAGTGTTGTGACTTGTCAAGCTTGATTGTAGACGAAGGATTATCTGTGGGAAATAAACGTAGTCAATTCGTTGTTCCAAAACTGTGTTCGCTAGATATCGGCAGCCTTATTCTGTAACTTGCGACCGCAGATAATTGCGCAATAATCGCTGTCAAGTCGCTGTCAAACACGAGTTTTCTATCATTTTTCTATTCAAAAAAAGCAACTTGCGACCGGTTACTAGTTGCTATGTAATTGCTGTTTTTAGAGAATAGGCCTGCGGGTCTTCAAAAAAAAACCAATCAAAGATTGCTATGGTTTTTCAAACGTATGTCTTAGTAAAATTTTTCTTTCATTTTGTCAATGAACTTAATGTCAAAATGTCATGTCAAAAATCCTGACCAATAAAGAAACAGTAATGCGACGTACGTTTTCGTAATCAAAGCAATTTTCGATTGGTTTTTTTTTTGAAGACCCGATACAATGTACTTTACTCTATTTAAACACAACAAAATCGTTAACACAGACTGTTACCACTGAATGTATCTCACGAAAACACTAATTTAATATCATCATATCTCATATACCGAATTTATTACAATTAAATTCATCACACTGTAGAAATATTTTTGGCGCTATTATTTTTTGGGATTTTTAGGAGGCAATTCTACAGATTTATCTGAAATAGCAAGGGTGCAGTTTGAAAAACGTGTTAACGAAACCATGTCGGTTTTCAGAGGAGCCATGGAAATAGCTCCAATGCATTATTGGAAATGTGATCCGAAGGAACAAATTAAAGGTACGTTTAATTATTAGTCAGCCTGAAATCCTAAACCTTATTGAATCCCTAATTTCATCAAGAAATGTATGAGCCTTTTCACTGTAGGAAAAACCTATGAAGAATTCACAAGGCTCCTCCAAGGCCACATCCAGAACGAAGTGGACATGAACAACGGAGGAACCTGTCGCGAATCATGCGACTCATACCCAACAACCAAAAATCATGGTTGCTACGATGGCGACAGCAAATATTGCAGAGAAATCGAACGTTGTAATGGGCAAATCATAAAATGCCGTTTTGTAGAGAGTCACATGGAGATTTGCCCATCTGTAAGTGTTTTTTTTTTTCTATAAATGGAAATTATAGTGAAGAACAATTTTAGCAAAATCCTTTAAGACGGTACGACCACATAGTCTATGAAAGTGGCAAAACTTATGGAGAATATAAAACCTGCTGGAAGAAACCCGTAAACAGCTGGTGGAGATGGTTTGTACACTGTTCGTACTGTCTTTGTTTATGCGACGAACAAGGACCAAAGTCTGACAGATACATTAGCATGAGACCAGTATTGGCCGATATTAAAAATAACAGGTTAGAATATAGCTTAGTTTTCTCTAATTTTGCATACAAACCATCAAAAAATAAGAATTCTAATCAATTTTTATAATGCATTGCAGCTTCTGATTGGATGAAACTTAGTATAACTATTATTGTAGTAAATCTTATACAGTTAAGAACATTTCAGGGTTGTGACGGGCATTAAGTTTACAAAACACAACAGAATATTGCACTTGCAAATCCAAGAAGGCAAACTGATGCCTTATGGTTACATCGACAATACTACAGTCAGATGGGCACCAGTGGACAATTATAAAATTACAGATCCGGATGTTTATAATGAAATCGACTATTTTACTTTGACATATGAGAACCGCTCTATGGCTTTGGATGATATTGAGTTAGAAAAACACAATTCTATTTTGACAGGTGTGCGTTTTCAATTTATCAATGGCAAGTTACGTTTGCAAGTACACTACAGCACATTTGACTGGGAAACTGGACGTCTATCCCCAGAACAGGGGACTTATATCTATCAAAAACTTGGAGGAAGGTAAGGGAATAATACCATTTAATGAATATGCGGTTGATATTATTTTTCTAGAAAAGAAATTGATTTATCAAAAGTCGACGTCCCAACCAAGTCGCCTAAAAATCATCAAAGCCAAATGAACGTCAATGACGACTCATACATAAAATTTACTAATACGGCCTTTGAATTGGATGCTGCCCAAACAACTGTACCATTTCTGGACATGCAACCTGTCACAAATGAACCCGCCGTACCATTAATGGGAGCTGGAATTTATTATAAAAATCTGGAAAATTATGGAGGCTATATTGCTCCGAAAATAATGACCTACGATTATAGCCAACTTATTCTGGTGAGATTTCCGAGAATCGACGTGAAGGGTAGCGTTAGGGAAATTGATGTAGCACCTAATTAGATTTTTACTGAAAATAAATTGAGATTTATCTATTAGTAGGTTTTGTTCGAGAATATCCTTGGCAAACTTTATTAAACCTAAAAATATTGATGCATCGTAAAATTATTTAGTTTGGAACGTGGCAATCCCATTAAACTCATACAGATTTTGGCATTTCGATTTGAAACCCCTTTGTTAATTTGACAATGAATAAGATTTATCTACTCAAAACAACCTAATGCATCGTTGAATTGCAAAATTGAAATAACTTCAATTCAAATCTAGTTGTTTCTGTAAATGAAGGCATACCCACAAATAAGGAGTGTTTTTTCAATACAGTTCACACATTCTGAATTTGGTCCGTCAGTCAGCTCTAGTAAAAACCAGAATTCGCATGTATATTTTTATATTCATCCTCCGATTAAGTCCAGAGACAAACATGTTTAAAATACAGTCATAAATGTATTAGTACAAAATCTTCACCCTTCAGATTGAATTGTAATTGATTACTAAGGCAAAATGTCATCTAAGCTGCAGCTACTTGAGAAAACCCCTCCTTTGAAAAATAATTGTAAAGCTTTAAAGAGAGGGTTTTCCTTTTAATGCTTATTATTTTTAATTTAGTTATTTCGGCAAATATCCTTGACCAACTGTTACGTGGAAACACGGACACTGCCAATTTGTTACCCACAAAACAAAACGCGAGGGAGAAGTTAATAATAAGATTTGAGGAAGAGAGACAGAGAATGGGTAACTAAAACATAAAAAATAAAAAGAGAGGGTTGGTTGGTGGCTGAAATCTAGAAACGTGACTTCGTGTGAAGGGTTGCCGACTAGCTTCCAATGCGGAGAGGGGTGTGGGTCAATTAAATAACTAAATATAGAGCGCCACCTGCTTTTCCCTGTAGTACACGAAATCAACCGATATAACGAAAGCAGGAAACTTCTACGGAACTATAGCAGCACAACCTGAAATATAAACGTAAACAAGAAGGGAGGACAAAAGTGAAACGCTTTGCTACAATCAGGTACGGGTTTTTAATTAGAACCAGAACAGAACAGGTTGACCCCAGAGCAGGTTCGGAGTGGGTTTTCCGACCGCCCTAGAACACTAAAAATTATTCACACTGGAACCAGAACAAGAAAAGAAATCGTCTCGGAGTACCTAACCATATGTTCTTAAAATAGTATTTACAATAATTATTAATTACACTCAACTTGAGTCCCTAAATAAAGAAATAAAGAGTACTGTATAACAATAAACAGTTATAATACCTGAAATATAAATTAATAAATAAGCTTACTAAATGCAGTACCTTCGTAAATGGCTATTTAACCCCAGTGTACAAGTTATTCCTGTATTCAGTGCAGCATGTATTTATGGGATAGTTATTAGAGAAATATATATCAATAATTAAAGTTGAAGTAACAATACATAGCCCGAGGGGCAAATTTAATATTATGGAATAATATAGATGGTATAGGTAAATACTTAAAATTGAAGTACCTAACAGTACATAACCTGAATGGTAAATTTCATATAATCAAGGTAATATATATAATTAATTAAAACTGAAATAACAACATCTAATCTGAAGGGTAATTTAATGTAGTAGAACTGCGTTGTTGTGGTGATTTACTCCAACAAGGGGTTGGTAAGGTTTGATATTTATTTTATTTATTTTTTATTTTATTTATTTATTTATTTTATTTATTCAATATACGGGTTCACCCCTCTATTACAAAACATTACAATTACTATATTTACTAACATAATTTAAAAACAAAAATTTAAAACTAACAAGATCAACCAAATTTTAAAAAACTCACTAATGCAAAAGATTAAAATATAGTATCAGTGGTGAGATTTATACAAGTTAACACTAACACTAAGAGACAGGTACAATGTAGGTTCCCTTACCAAAACGTACCCCTTTGGAGAATTACCAAACGGGATTGAACTGACGGCGAAACTGTAGAAATGAAATTCCAGTTACCTCAAAATTGTGAGCATTTACTAGTCTAGAAAATCTAGATAAAGGGCTGTTATATGTATAGTTGCTAGAATGATATGGAATATGAAACAAATTGGTACTACTAGTGTTCCGTGAAGGAACCTTGAAGCATATCTGTTCGAGTAGATCCGGACAGTCTATATCACCAGACACTAACTTGAAAATGGTACAAAGGTCACAAGAAATTCGATCAGACTTGAGACTATTAATAGATAGGATGTTTCGCATATCTTCATACGTCCATTGATCTCGAGGAATTTGGAGTCTGTACCCACAATAACGTAAAAATTAATTTTGAACAGATTCAAGCCTGTCTATACAGGGTGTCCCACGGTGGATGGCGTATTAGACGTTAAAGGAGAACTAAGAAGCGGATCATTTTGAAAATTTGGCAACCGGGATAAACAACCATAATCTACACTTTAAAAATATTTTTGTTTATGCGGTGTTGCCGCTTCTACTCTAAACTAGTGGCAACATCGCTATTTTAAATGGAACACCCTGTATGTGATTGCATATTTGGATTCTACGTTAAATCCTGAAAAGATTTTATGTGATATACCCTATACCTAAGTTCAACTGTTTTGGAAATATTGACAGTTGAAAATCGACTTTTTGCAACTTTGACAGGCTGTAAAACCTAAACGGTTAATTTTAGAGGAAAACCGATTTTACATACCTATCTTAGATTTTCATAAACTATCATTTGACAGAGTAATTGCGAATTATGTTTTCCACCTCACTGCAATGGTTAGCATAGGTTTCACTAGGTGAATTTGGTGGAATATAAACCGCTCCTAATATCAATTTCACCTTACCAAATGTTAGTTGAACAAAAACATGTTCAACAGTGTTCATTATGCATGGAATGAGCAATGAAGTCAACGTGCTTTTAACACAAATCATAACTCCGCCACCTCTGGTACACTCATTGGTTATTTGTTCCCTGTCCAAGCGATAAATGTTATAGTTGGGAATACCAAGCTCGGCATCATTAAATTCTGAAGTTAACCAAGTCTCAACTATAATGATCACATCAAAAAAAGAAGCTGCGACACCCTTAGCAAAGTCCCGAAGTTTTGACCTCATTCCCCCAACATTATGGAAGTAAATAGAAAGGTTTAGCTTACTTAGTTTTTTGGTACGGCTCGAGAGGACTTTATTATTGCAGGAGTTCCATTCTTGTATATGATTCTTAGATCAGACTCTCCATTTGCCAATCTTTGCCTAAGCTCCAACACTGCCTTCTTATGGATTTCTTGCTGTAATTTGGTTCTGTCAAAACTTACGTTAGGACCTTGATCATGGGGTTTCCTTCTTCATTGCAATATTTTCTGGCAACTTTGGGGGCTGTCAAGCACTATCCGCAGAGGCCTAAGCTTGTTAGGCAACTTTTTTCCTAGGCGAATAACCTTCCTAAAGCAGCCGGTTTCAAGAACTGATGCCTCAATAATATTTTTTGCCCTTTCCGTATCATGTTGGATTTTATCATTTGAGTTTTGAGAGACTGATTCCTCTACATTGAAAGCAACAACATTATAAGCCCTTATACTGCGATCATGAATTTCACTGAGAGCATCATTTTGGTTTAATGATCCATCAGCATTTTTCTGGCTAGCTAAGATATTAATCAGATCATTCTCTTTTTGTTGCTTCAAAATGTTAACTTCGTTTGTTAGAGAGCTCACTTCGTCCTTCAAAGAAGATACCTCCTTTTCCAGTAACGATATTTTGTTCAAAATCATGGGCACTTTCAGAAAGGAGCTTTTGCAATTGTCACAAAAATAAATAACAGATCTTTGCTTTTGAAGCATCATCGCCCTAATTTCTGTCGTAGACGTCACAGTACAAGTTTTAGTAACATGAAATGCCACCTTACAGCAATCGCAAAATATAAAATCCTCATCCTCCTCAATCCTCCTTTTACATTTGACACAATTCCACATTTTTAGAAATCGGCGGAAAAAGACTCACAATCGTGCAACAATGGTAGGTTTGGCTGATGTTTTTGAAGGTCAAAACAAACACGTTTGGATCACTTTTTGCCGAAACGAACAGAAAACATGAGACTTATGCACTTATATCACTTCACAACTGTTTATTGTTAGGGCCGTGTAAAGAAAACAATTAAAAAAATTGATTCTGTTATAAATTCTTCCCAATGAAAGCATAGACAATCGCAACAACAACCAACAACGTTGCCGTTTTCATGGTGTTATTAAGACAATACAACACACTTATCAAGCCTGAGTAGTCCCTAATCTCTTTGGGAGAACCTGACGGATGGGATTAATATCTTCCAGTGTTTCCGATGGCTTGGGACTGGATCAGGGTCTCGACAAGAAGCAACTGGCCCTGGGCACTGAAGTTCAGTAACTAGGAGTCACTAAAGCTTCCAATGGTCTAGAGGAGGCTGAAGATAGGAGGTACGACTTGAAATATATAAGCCTAACGTATAACTCTTTAGTTAGGGACTTAAGCGTTACGACTAAGACGTGACGTCTAAAAGGCGATGATTAAAGGGGATGATAAAGCGTAACGTCTAAAGGCCTAAAACAAATGGACATTATGAGACTGGGCGTAGAGCGACAGGTAGGTATGTCCAATATTCGGAATTTAACCATATAATTAACAGAAAATTATGCTTTTACATAGGCAATAGAGAAACACAGAGAAAACGAATAAGAAAACAACTTACCAAAATAATTTGGCCTTTAGGAACAAACAATTGATCACGTTGCTCTTTTTCGGCTCACAAAGAAATCCGCACAAGGCGCTTTGGTGTTAAAATAACGGATTAGCCACCTTAGATTTATGAGCGAAACTTGGCAACTCAGAAATCGGCAAAATGTGCCTGAGGAGTTTTCCCGAACACTTAATCATGGAAAGTCCTCGACCTGAATGACCTCTGCTTGTCCCTGCAATGTCCTTTAAAAAGGCTCTGTCAAAACTCCAAGGTGAAGGGTTCTGGGGATTTTGATGGTAGTTGGGGCATGGGACTTATTCAAATTAAGTTAGTACCGGTCATTGACCCTATTTGGAGCGCTGTCAATCTAGTCAATCTGATCGGATCAGATAGTCAGCTGTTCTAATGTAAATATTGTGATTTTGTTTATTAATACATTAATTGTCTATTTATTTTAACCCTACTAACAGGAAATCAATTCCATTAATAAACCTCTAACTTAATGATTCTGGGAAGAATGAATAGTTTGATGAAAAGTGTGGCCACAACTATTGGATAGAAAACAGTGGCTTGAGGAAGGTATGCTATTCAGAGCGGTGAATAAGCTTATTTCCTTTTATTTTGGCACAGGAAAAATCATCCCGTAATACAACTGACTATTTACTACAATATGAAAAAACATTGATAATATAGAACAATTCTTACCTGAACTCGAAGTGGATGCATTATCAACAACGTCATCAATGTGTCGCTGAATGGTAAAATTTCTTCTACCTTGATACCCTGCTTGGCTACGCCCTGGCACAGGAAAACCGCCAAATATCTGTGTAGTGGCAAGTGGAAAGACACTTGCATGTTATCTTCCTAATGAAAAAATTACCTTTCTCAAAAAAAAATCATATCAGAGTAAAAAATCCATACCTTAATTGGGCCAAAATAGTTGGTTGTTGCCAACCAATCATACCATTCTTTGATGCAGCTGTTCAAGACGCGTCTGGTCAAGTGCGCTGTCGATTCGTCAGTGAGATGAGTGACCAGAGCCCACATTGGATAAGCGCTCGCTTCTAGCTCGGCACTAAACGCAGCATAGTATGTAGTCGGTTCGAATTCGACATGCTGGCTTAGTTCCCTCTGGTTCACGTTCATTCCTTACATAAGAAAAAATATTATTACTTAGGGCCTTGAGTTTAAAATAGAGAAAAAGCAAAAAGATGGCCGAACCCTCAGCAGGTGACACCAACCAAAAATAATGTTCAACAGTTTACCAAGCGGGCAAAAATGAGGCAACAGTCTTCATTCCCACAATCCATTTTTTTTCATTGAAGCGACTAGTTTTGTGATTCAAAAGATTTACTTCCATAAGTACGCGTTCACATTGACACCGCTCAAGCGGTGAGCGTTGGGTGATGCCGTTCTAGCGATGCCGACGCTTGCGATGCAGGGTGTTGTTGTGTTCATATTGGTGAGCGTTATTAAGTATCATCGTGGTAACATAATTTTGCCCCTGCGGAAGTATTTGCTTTTGGAAAACTCACGACTACCAATGCTTATTTGAGAAAAAAGTGTAAAAGAAAAGCAGTTCATAAAGTAAATCAACAGCATTTTTTTAATGGAGAATTTGCCGAAATTATTCGGTTTCTATAATCTGGGTGCCAATCACAGCAAAGTGCTGGACGTGTTTGAATTTCAGATATTAACAATTCTCTGTCCATGTCTTGGTTCACGTTTACCTTTTTCAGGGTCGGTTTCTCAATTGCGAGTCACCTCCGGGTTGGTTTCAGATTGTAGATTGCAGATTGCATATGGAGTCGGAACGGCTACTTCCAGCCGCTCAAGCACTGCTACCTTTCCAGATATTTTATGCGCCACTCTGCTTCTAGTTGGTGTCCAAGATTTGTTGGCTTCTCCCAAAAGAGGCCAGCTTCCTGGGTGGTAAGGTGCCCACCTCTTGGGGTTTTAGCCGTACCCCTCAAGGTATTTCAGCCTCTTGCAGAGATGTGCAGGATATTCACAGATTGAATGTTTTCTGGTTTCTGCTGCTGGAATAGCCTGTAGGCGACTATTCTTGCCTCTTTTTTCACACATAGGTGAAGAGGGGACATGTTCAGCAGTGACTCCAAGGCTGCGGTATGGCAGGTTGACATAGCCCCAGTTATTTCTAGACAGATTAGCCTTTGTACTTTAAGTAGACTGTTCTGTCCAGTAGCTTGCTCAGTCTTTGGCCACCATACCAACGAGGCGTAGGTAACAATGGGTCTGATAACCGTTTGGTAAATCCAGTATACCATTTTTGGTTATATCCTCCATGTTTTTCCCACGAGTTTGCGGCATGTCCAAATGGCCGCTGTAGCTCATGATATAGTTTTGTTCAGATGATTGTTCCAAGTGAGTTTACGGTCCAGGGTGACCCCTAAATACTCAACTTCATCCGAGAGAAGTAATTGTGTTCAGTTTAGAGTAGGGGCCCGCAGATCCAGCTTCCTTCTTTTTGTAAACGGAACTAAGGTCGTTTTGCTGGGATTTATGGAAAGTCCTTGTTCCTCACTCCAGTTTTTGATCATATTCAATATTCATTCGACCTGTTATTATGCCTTCATGCTTGCCTCTAATTATTACCGCAAGATCATCTGCGTAAGATAAGGAATATGGATGCTGTCTACCAGCAGTGTCCACAGAAGAGGCGAAAGGACACCTCCTTGTGGTCAGGCTTTAGCCGTGGTGATAGGGGTTGGTTTTAACTCCAGGGTAAACGTGTTTGCAATGTTTACCCTGGAGTTATGGTTGACTCGAGGGTGACTTGCTATTGAGAAACCGGCCCTTAACGCTTTAAATTATACTACTAAAAAAACTGTGAAATAGTGCATTGACGCTCGAAATTTTCAAGCATGTTGAACCACTAGCGGTGCGGTGCGTTAACGCCGCGCAAAACCGCGCGACGCGTCGCTCCAGTTTGAACATGTTTATTTGAAATATATTGCAGTGATGCCAACTCTAGGGAATTGTCCCTAGTTCTAGGGATAAATATGGAAAAAAAAATTGTCTAGGGATATAGGGAAATTCTAGGGGCTTTCTGATATTTTTAATTTTTCTTACAAAATTTGATTAATTCTGAAAAAATAAACATATAAAATAATATTATTATAAATTCTTCAAAAAATCGAAAGTCACCTTATTATTGGTTCGTCTGAGTAATTTCATACAACATACACTTGGCCAATCATAAAACTGGTACGCTTTCCCTTTTGTGTTGTATTGTGTAAATCGACCTTTTTTATCACCTCAACAATGACGAAAAGAGTCAATGACATATTTGAACCAATCATAACATAAAAACATATTGCATGTACTTCTGTTCAGCTTTGTCGTTGACAAAAACTGTCTGACTTAAGTTTTTCAGAAGAGACTTCTTGTTGTTAAGCCTGGCTCACACTAGGCAAATTTAAAAAATAGATATACATTGCCTGTACCAGTTTTATGTTTGGCCAAGTGTACAACAGTATCATTTTTGTATGTTGTAAAGTGCTCTTTGCCTTTTGTGTAATGTGATGTGTGTGGGGATTCCTGCACAAATCGCGTCGAATCTGAATCAGGAAACAGCGAATTTCATTGGTTGAAAACAGTCAGAAACAGTCTGAAAACTAGTTTCAATCAATGAAATTCAATCTGACTGGTTTGTGATTTCTGCAAAAACAGACCTATTATCGCTACCAGTGACGTCATAACAATGTCTTATTACTTTTGGAAATTTTGTGTTGTTTTTTAAAAACTTGAGGATTAGTGCGATTAGTTTTAAAAATATGATTTTTTTTCTTGTAAATTACAAGAATTACAATACATATTACAATTATTATTAGGCTGTAATAATAATTCTGAAATGAATTTGAAAAAAATTAATTCTAGGGAATTCTAGGAATATTTTTTTTCAAATCTAGGTATCTTCACATCCCATCAGTTGGCAACACTGATATATTGTTATGGCTCGACGGCAACAGTGTCATGGCGTGTATTATTTTGCTTAGCATTTATTCTAAAATTATTGCGAAAGTTTAAAAAGTATATTTGTGAAAACTGTGCAGTGACATTTGTTAGAAGGAGAAGTACAGAATTTTGCGAAAATCCTATATGAAAACCGCATATAACGTTTATAAGTGTTCCTTAAATTATTATTGTTTAAGGATTGTATGTGGTCCATTTTTTGGGCAGATGATACAGTACATAAATAAAGAATTTTTGGGATTTTCAAGACTGTTTTTCTTCAAACCTATTATTGTTTACGTTATTTATAATAATAAAGAGATATCGGTAAAACAGATAGCGCGTATGGACGGTAATAACGTCAGGAATTATTTTTTTTAAGTAAAGCGGTATCATACTTTCAAATTAGAGTTATCGGAAAACAGTTTAACGTAAAATTTGCCTGTTCGCATCCGTTATTTTATAAACGTAGTCTAACTTGTACCTTGTGATTTGATTTGTGTTGTCTTGTCTGTTGTTCATGGTCAGGGACAGAGGATTTGCTTTTTTACTATTTTTTGAACAATCCATATTCACTTGAACACAACAAAAATAATAAATTAAACAATAAACATAACATAACCTATTATTCCACGGCGCTATTTTTAGACGTTATTCGAAATAGCGCTTAACGTAAATGCTAGGTAAATTACGTTATGCGGTAACGTTATTTTAGTACGTAGTGTTAAAAATCGAATCGCGCATAGGTTTAATGTCAAAATAACGTAGGCGCTAATACTCCATGACACTATTTAGATTACCGATATCTCTCTATTCATTCCCCGGCGCACGTAGATCTGGGGCGACGTTGCGACGTTGCCGCATTGCCTCGTGGCAATTTCCAAAGTGGAATGGAATGGGATGTTTGTAAGAAAACTGACGATCAAGTTGAACTATTTAGTTGTGATGGCTGCAATTCGCTTATGTAAAAATGAAGTTATTTCAATGATGTCTGCATCAGAAATTAAGGTCTTGCAATTGAGAGGTAAAAGGTGTGTACTTAAAATTTTACTGCTCAAAATGTGATGGCGGCGATGCTTTTCTGCTTTACCAGGAGCTTATATAGAAGCGAAAAAAAGGAAGATTGAAGCCAAAGATCAAATAATACAGTTGTTGGAACAAAGCAAAAATGATTTATGGGCCAATATAGCGAGCCTCGAAAATAAGTTGTCTACCATGCATACGCAGGCACTCGCTTCGAAAGTGCATATTCAGAAGTATTGAGAAAGGGAACAGATAGGGTTGCCAGACGTCCCGAGTTTAACGGGACAGTCCCGATATTGAAGATTTTGTTCCGTGTCCCAATGGACTATATGTCGGGACGCTAAATGTCCCGATTTCACGGAATTTTTTAAAAAGTTGGGAAAAATTAAAAATATGTACTTACTTATAAGACACTTATTTTTGAATTGTACCTACCTGTTAATTATCTATTACTATTATTTAGAATTATGTCAAGATTTCGACGATAAGAATAAACTAGTGCATTTTAGGCATTTTAAGGATTAAAAGTACCCTTTTAAATCCTGTTTCAAGGGGGTAAAGTGTGTTTTTCAAGCCCCGGGATTAAATTTCACTTTATTTCCCAAGGGATTAAATTTTTACTTTATTTCCTGGGGATTAAATGAAAGAGCGTTATTTTTATTTTTAAATTTTGTTAGAAGTTTTATTGCTCAGTTACATTCTATTTCCTTTATATTAAATTATTCTTTCAAAAAAAAAGTGTTAAATTGCAATAAAATTTCCTTTTCCTCCAAACGTCTAAAAAACGTCACTTTGTCAGCACCTGTCAATATGTTAGAAATTTAATTTCTATGCTGGTAGGCAATTCCAGCGGGTTAACACCTGTCGAGGTGGTAGAAATTTAATTTCTATGCTGCTAGGCAACCGCAGCGGCAGTAGAAGTACTTTTAGTGCCGCTGGAGCGGCAGCAAAAGTACTTTTAGTGCCGTTCGTACTTTTACTGCCGCTTAACCATTCAGTTACCCCCGAGCTTACCCCATTCGTTTGGAGAAAAAATAGCGTGTTGCATACGGAGTAGAAGCACTTTTTTGTGCTTCAGCAGTATTGCAAGCCTCACTACGTTCGGCTCGCAAACCCACTGCTTCAGCACAAAAAAGTAAAGCTTCTACTCCTAATACAACAATATACTATTATTTTCATGTATTAATAAATATTATTGATATGACAACGCAGCCATAGCCCATTGTCCCCTCTGTCTATTCAGTAGTCGTAGCTCAAGAACCATGCCACGGACTTTACATGATTAAAGACTCTGCATCTTGACCAGCCCACTTTCACCCTCGTTTGTTCCACCAGGAAACTGGATCAACCTCTAAAATTATGTTGATATTTTTAAATCTATTTTCAGACTTTTCAAGCACTTTCATGTGAAAGTTTCCCGAAGTACTTAAATTATTCCATCTTATACTTAATTAAGCCAATTATTTCATCCTCAGAATCATCAACACTAAGGTCTTCTCTATTTATTATAAGTGTGCTGTAATGTTTCAATTGTTTAGGCTTTAATCACTATGCAAAAGACTGCAATCTTGAAAAGATGTGCTCAAAGTGTGCGGGTGGACATTCATACAAGGAATGTAGCGCTAACGAAGTGAAATGTGCAAATTGTAGTAAAAGTAAAATACCAAATGTTAGTGTAGTTCATGAAGCATTAGATATAAACTGTCCTACCTTTTTGTGTTTAGTTAGCATGCAGAATAAAAAAATAGAGTAATTTTCAGATAAACTCGTATAAACAGTATTTTTAAATGAATAATATGTCAGAATCTTTAAATTTTAAGATAGCTCACTTAAACCTTAGATCAATCCTAACAGGCTTTCAAGAATTTTTAGGTATTGTCACGGAAAACGATTTCGATGTTGTGGCAGTCACTGAGACCTGGTTGAATCAAAATGTGTCCTCAGATACTATTTCGTTAAATGGATATAAGTTTTTCCGCAAAGATCGTATTTTTGGAAGAGGAGGAGGTGTGGGTATCTATGTCAAGTCTAAACTTCTTAGTGAAGTACTTTCATTAGATAATAATGTTAGAGTAAGATTTGAAAATGTGTGGATCAAAATTAAAATAAGTGGTACAGTAACAATGGTAGTGGGAGTAATATATCGAACAGGTAATAATATTGTAAATTGTGTGAATGCGTTAGATAATATGCTGCCTGAAATTTTGCCGTTGTATGAATGTGTGACTGTGCTGGGAGATTTGAATGTTAATTTTCTTAATGTTTTTAACCCCGTCTCATAGTTGTTTGATTCCTTGGGGTTTGTTCAAGTTAGAAATGAACCGACTCGCTTTGCTAGAAATGTTTCAACGTTGCTTGATCCTATTTTTTGTAATAATCCAGATATTGTCCTAGACGCAGGTACAATCAAAGCGGAAAATATTCGTGATCATTAATTAACATATTGTGATTTTAATTTGTCTTCAGCAGAAACTAAGGAAAGGTTGGTAACATATCGGAACTTTAAAAATTTTACCGAAAACGAATTTTACAATGATCTATTCGCTATTCCTTGAAATGAAATTTATTATCTGCCTGAAATCGAGGACAAGGCACGGTTTTGGACTCAACATCTGTCTTCTTTATTTGACATGCATGTACCTTTTAAAACTGCTCGGGTGAGTAAGCCACCAGAGTCCTTATTCTTGGAACAGGGGAGCAGCGTTCCCGGGAGAAAGAGTATTCCGTCTTTGTTCCTTATATTATCATTTTCATATCATTGAGAAAGACGGAACACTCATTCTCCTAGGAACACTGCTCCCCTGTTTCAATAATAAGGCCCCGTGGTTGACTCCTACTTTAAGAATCATTATGAAGGAGCGTGATAGAGCGAAAGCAAATTACAAAATAAGTAAAACATCACTGGCTTGGGAGACATATGAACGACTCTGAAATTTCGCTCTTGCATCTTTGTGCAGGGAAAAAATGGGCTATTTGGATTTTGTGTAGAGATAGTACAGCACAGACAGAGTCTGGAAGGGTCTACAGCAGATGGGTGTTTATGGGTTGGCCAAATCTAATTGCCATGCTAACTCAGAATTGATGGATCCAGATGAAGTAAACGATTATGTCAAACCAATCGTTGTGAAAATAAAATTAGGCATTATAATGATAACAGGTTTAGGGAAAACACAAATTTTAACTTTTTCATGGCCAGCACTGAGACAGTCTGGAAAAGTGTGTATGGAATAAAATCGAACGCGGCTGGATATGATACTTTGACATTGTATATGATTAAACTTAGTCTGCCTGCTACACTATGCTGAATGAATTCTGACCGATAAGTCTCCTGCCTGCGATATCTAAGGTATTAGAGAAGGTTGTTCATTCTCAAGTTTCTGATTATCTAAAGGAAAATAACCTGCTTCCTGCTCACCAGTCAGGTTTCAGGACTGGTCACAGCACAGCAACAGCTTTGCTAAATTTGATTGACAATATCTGCAGGGCTTTAGATAAAAATATGGCAGTTATCTCTATTTTGCTTGATTACTCTAAGACTTTCGATGTGCTAGACCGTGAATTGCTTTGTGCAAAATTAAGGTATCTTGGTTTCTGTTTCTTGAAGGCGTATCTCACTGGCAGGGAGCAGATGGTTCGCATTGGTGGTAGGCTTTCTTCGACAAGTAGCATTGTGTCTGGCGTCCCTCAAGGGTCAATACTTCGACCCCTCTTATTTGTCATATATACTTTTGATATATTCCACGTGACAGCCAGCTCACATGTTCAGTCATATACGGACGATACACAATTGTTACATTGTTTTGATCCAGATAAACCTAATGATGCAGCTGTAGCTATAAACGAGGACCTGCAGTCAATTTTGGATTACTCAAGAGAACATAACTTAAAAGTAAATCCGGACAAGACGCAGGTTCTTCTGTTTTGTTGACAAAGACGTCGCCAAATGCTGGAAAATCGGCTTTAATTAAAAATGGGTGATGTAAATTTTGGTTTTTCGATTTACGCAAAAAATTTAGGTCTTCACTTGGATGCATGTTTAAGGTTTAGGGAACACATAGGCAAACTGCTGCAGAGGAGCTATATCTAGATGAAAGTTCTTTATGTGAATAGATTCATTTTAAACTATAAGATGAGAAAAAAGTTGTGTGAGACATTGATCTTGCTGATATATTACTACTGCAATATTGTTTACTAATTTACTACCCATTTTTAGCTTTTTTAACTAAAAATCGTTTACAGGTCATGCAAAATACATGCTGCCGATTTATTTTTGGTTTGAGAAAATACGATCATATATCCAAAATAGAAGAATTAAAATGGTTAAATATGTCAAACACTTTTAAATTGCATTTTGCAGTTGTTTTATGAAAGTCCAGTCTATTTGTGCGAAAAGCTTGTATTTCGAACTGCTATACATAATCGGAATCTTCGTCATCGAGGTCGTCTTGCCGTGCCGAAATACCATTCTGCACTATTTCAGAGATGCTTTACATATAATGCTGTATTTCTTTTTTTGTTTTAACTTTTTGTTTATATTTAAAGGAGACTTTTGGATTGCTATATTTTATTTGTTATTTTCTTTTCTTTCTTTCAAGTTTTTGTTTAAAATCAGATATGTAATTGTAAGGGTGGAAAATGGTACCCAAAGTTAAACTTCGCCATTTTTATTATTATTAGGTCTTTATTTAGCATGTACGGCTAATTTACAAAACAGAGTACATAATATAATATTCATATACAACTATAAATTGCACAGTATATGTATACATAAAGCACACAATACAATACATGTCATCATACATTGTTATGTCTAATAAAATTTGATAAAATAAAATAAAAATAAGAAATTAAATTAAGATTATTTTAGGCACAGCTATAGAAAGTAAACATAGTTTTCAATAATAGTACGTAGTACATTGTCACACTGAACACAAGCTACAATCAGGGTATATTTACACATTCAGACATAAAGCACTCAATGATTCCTTTCTAAGCATCTCCACACATCAAGCTATCTATTTGTCGATTAATAACTTTTTCAGTTTCGATTTAAATATATTAAGCGTTGAGCTGCTTTTTACATCATTTGGTAGTTTGTTATAATTAATTAGGCCATTATGGAATAATGCCTTTTCAGTGCTCTTTTTATTCTTGGTTGCTACATGCAAATCATTCTGAGATCTTGTAATGTGATCGTGAACGTTACGTTTTTCGTCTGTGTGGTACGTATGTACGTGTACTTTTTATATGTCTGTATGCATTTCAATTAATAAAGATGTTTACTATTATTATTATTATTATTATTATTATTAAAATTATTTGAACGCGCACTTGAGAATTTTGAAGCATTGAATACTTCTAAACACAGTCCACACTGAATAGGTATGATCGCTAAACAGGTATGATCACTGAACCTAATGTTTACTTTTATAAAGAAAGTGATTGAAAAACTGGGATTTGAATCATATGTTTGGATCTTAACTACCCAATTAGAACTAGAGTAAAACCAACTAGCTGATTCTCATAACCTACCTATCAGTTTACAGTGTAGGATGGTTTTGTCTTTGCATAATAGAACCTATATGATATGTCATTGTGGGTATGGATCAGCTCAATACAATTTTGGCAATCACAAAGTTAGAGAAAGCGCTTCATACGGCTGTAGGAGTAAGACTATTGATGATGAAATCACTGTGATGCATCTCAATACAACTTTTATCATAGAATGGGGGACTCCTGGTTTAAAAAAGTTTTATCTTCATCTTCATTATTATTACTCTTTCTTACTATACTTAATAGCAAAGTGAAATAGAATTAATGATAAATAAGACGGGATTGAATAGGAATAGAAAAAGATGAAGCTTGATGTGGATTACTGCTGCAGTAAAATAATTGACAAATCATGATTGGCAAGGTACATAACTTAGGGCGATACTCACCGTAGTTCATTAAGCCTCGCTTAGTAGAAAAACTCGGCTTTGTCCTACAAAAAGCCAAGCGTTTCCATTAAGCCAGGCTTTATGAACTACGGAGAATATGGCCCTTATAGAAAGCGATCCTAAAAGGCTGGTCTAACAAATTATTTCAAAAACTAAGAACCAATATACAAATTATAATAGTGCACCAACTACTTACCTTGAAACATAGACAGAAAGGCAAACCACATATACAACAAATTATCATCCGTCATAAACTTCAAGGCTACCGGTCTGTGTGATAAAACGTTGTTCAAGTCTGACACGAGGGGCCAATAGCAATGCTCCTTCATAACAGACTTAGCACAATCCACTACAAAATGGTGGTTGTCCTCAGAATCTAAAAAAAAAAGGAATTTAGAGAAAACAAGACAAATAGAACTTGATTTTGGACTTACGATGAAGGGTGCTTCTAATTGTTATTCTCCCCATCATGCTCTTCAAACTGACCACCATAACATGCAATAAGTTCATCTGCTCAGTCATTCTCAATGCTAAACTTTCGTTGCTGAATAGCTGTACACTGACATGCACGACGCGATTGCTGAGCGTATCTGGGTCCGCGCTACTTTCCAGCATAAGACTTATCCGGCTGTAGTGGAGTACAAATGCTCGAGTCAAAGCCTCTTTGTAGTCTGGATCTGGGAGCATGTTCAGTAAGAGGCAAACAACTTTTTGTGGAAACTCAAATTTTACAGTCCAAAAAACTAGTTCTTCTAGAAATGTTTTGTGAACTAGATCTTTTTGTAGCGAAGGGCAATCTTTCAGTTCTTCACAGATGTTGATTGTAGGATTTTGTAGGGATTCCAAAGCATCTTGGTATAATCGCTTACTGACCTCCATACAGTGGTCATATTCTGAGTCTATGGTTGCAGGCGTTTCATTGAGAGTTTTATATTTCTATTGGAAGAAAAAAACATTAATAAATAAATCTTACTTGAGAAAACAATTTCATTAGATGAGTCTCAATCAATGATTACCTACAAATAATCTGTGGCAGCTCTGAGGAGGCAAAAATGATGTTTTCCGACGATCGAAAATGATAAAATACGCACTAGTTGGTTCTTTGGTTGGTTTTCAATACGCGTGCTAAAAGTACTTTCAGCACACGTGTGAAAAATACTGTTGACGTTATTTGTGATGGACATTGACAATTTACTTTCAATACGTGGGTTGAAAGTTGAAAATATTTTCAGCATGTGTGTTGAAAATGAAAAGAAGTAAAATAAGAAAAAATTGGTGTAAATTGGTTTCTGGTCGTAGGCAAAATGGTGTACATCACTCCTGAGAAAGTGTCTTTCATACACTCGTATGATTTTCGCACTAGGCTACCGCCTCGCGCGAAAAAACACTCGTGTGAAATTTGTCACTTTCTATACTCGTAATGTAATATACTAATTTCCTACAACTGTCTCTGAAAATGGAGTTTTTCGCACGCTAGGCAACCTCTGAAAATACAGTTTTTCGCACAGCGTGCGAAAAAGTTTTTCACACGCTCCTTAGCGTGCGAAATAGCTATTTATACAATAAGTTACGAAATGAGAGTCTTTTAGGCACGCGACGTGAAAATTGTCCAACGAGGCAAAGCTAAGTTGGACAACACGTAGAAAGTAGGTAATAACACAAAGTTCTGTTTTGGGTAACCCAAACGTTCAATTCAGTAATTCCATTTTCAATATTCATAATAAATACAAAACAAAATTCAAATATTATGTGTTTAGTGTGTTTTTTATTTCTGAATAATGAATGACACTTTTAGGCACTAGTGCTTAAAAATTACTTTTACGCACTCCTAAGTCACTTTTACGCATTCAAAAGTCACTTTTACGCACTGAGTGCCTAAAAGTAACTTTCACGCACTCAGTGCCTAAAAGAATGTCGTTTCAAAACTGAAATGACAATCGAAAAGTTGCTATTATGAAACGTCAGTAGAAAAAAGTTTTTCACACGCTGCTAACTGTGTTTTTTTTTTTATTTTGGTCCTGTCATGCTAACATGACAACATAAATTGCGATTGTCATCAATTTCTGATGTTGATGATTTGTTTTCTAACAGATAAAAATTACATATTTGGTTGTTTTATTTTGCAGTTGTAGGAAAAGCATTGTAAAAAACTCGTTTGAAAACCTTTTTTGACACTCGCTCGACTTGTGGAACTCGCCTACGGCTCGGTCCAACAAACTGTCTCGCCGTGCGAAAAAAGTCGTTTTCAAAACTTGTTGTTTAAATAACTATTGATAGTTTGACAAAAAATTTGGGGTGTAGGCCTATAAGTGTTTTGAAAGAAAAGCCAGAAAGTGCGTTATTAAACTTTCTAACCTGATGTCTATCACTAAGATAAGAACTTGGATATTGTACAAGATTGGAGTCAAAAGATAGTTCTGAAAGTTTGATAATGAGAATTTTATGGTACACTCTGTCAAAAGCTTTTGCCAAGTCTATATATAAAACATCAACTTGACAACCGCTCGACGCTTGGTCAGCTACATACTCAGAAAAAAACAGCAAGATTTGTAACTGTCGACTTTTTTCTGTAAAAAAAACGGGTTGTTGTGGTATTATGATGGGTTCTACATGATGGTATATTTTTTCATAGATTACTTTTTCAAAAATTTTTGAAACGGTTGGTAAAATAGTAATGGGACGATAAAATTATTGAGAAGACTTGTATTTTCATTCTTATGGACTGGTGTGACACGGCCTTTTTTTAGTTCAGCTGGAAAGTAATTTTGTGATAGAGATTTGTTTATAGGTATTTGTAACGGTAATGTCAAGAAATTCGTATATGCTTTGAAAAAATATGCTGGTAATCCATCTAAGCCCGCAGCAGCTTTAGGCTTCAAGCTTTGAACTGCAGAGTTAACATCTTCCACAGTCACACTTTTAAGTTCCAGTATATCTAGGTTATAGATATCTACAGGATTATCACAAGTATCATCACTCGGAAAAACAGAACCAGAACTTTTATTATACATACCTCTGAAGAACTCTGAAAACGCGTTAGCAACAGCTGTATCCTCAGTACAAGATTGATCACCATAAGTAAATTTGTTAACAAACTGCTATTCTTTCGTTTTTCCTTAACAAAGTTCCAAAACATATTGGAATCATTGTAGATGTTATCTTTCTTTTAAATATTGATTATGACATTGCCTAATTACATTTTTTGTTTCACGTCCAAGAGAACTGTACTGTTGACTATAGAAATCCCTTTGTGCCTTTGTGAAGTATTCTTTTTCATCATTTTATGAAAATGTTGTTTTTCTTTTATTTTATGTATCAACGTTTTCATAAACCACATTAGAAACTTAGGGTCAATAGTACTAGTTTTTGTTTTGGGTATGCAACGTTCTAATATGGTATTTAATGTCTGATAGAAAAGACTTAGGCAATGATCTACATCATCACATCACAGCTTCATAACATCAACCCATCCAGTAATAAGAAATACAACTTTTAACAGTCTCCCTTCCTGAAATCAAATCTGAAGTTACCTTCAGATTTTAAATTTACTCTGACAGTATGTCTAATTCAGTCTAATTTCAAAACTTATTTCGAGCGGCGGATGATAATTATCTATTACACCCACTAGAGTATCATCAAGGCAAGCCGTCACCTGGGCCTCTGTAAAGTAAGTACTAGGACAAGTGTGTTACCAGAGTTATTTTTATTATCATTGATAGAATAAAGGTCATATTCGTTGATAAGGTTATTTATTACTTGTGCTTTGGTAGAACCAGTAGAGCAATCATACAAACAGTTGTTGATATCAGGAACCTTAAAATTTTCTAAGAATATTATGTTGTCGTAATTACACAATTCCTGCAAAGCTAGAGATTCAACAAAACTATGATATACAGCAATATTAGATGAACATAAAATATAAACTATACAAATCAAAAACTTAGTATAACGCACAAATAAACTAACACACAGCCACTGGAAATCAACAGCAGAACTCCTACTTACAATGACAGGTTTATAAATATTTTTTATACAGCGTAGGACTCATAGGACTCCACCCCTAGAAACACCAGAATAGGTGTAATCTTATATGTACTATCACAGAATTTAGAATTATAAGACAAGCCATTCAGTCAGGATTCGCTAATACATATCACATCCCATTCTGCATTTAAAATATTCTGATATACCTCAGCGGTTTTGGTCTGTAACCCCTAACATTTTGATAGAATATATTAAATATATTCTTATTAATTCATTAAGAAATCATCTTGTGATTGGAATTTTGGACAAAAATCTTCCAGATTCCTTGCAGCTGGATGCATGTTTGACGCATGAATCAACTTTAACAAGAATCAATGAGACCGAACGTGTAAAAAAAAAAACGAAACTACATACTGTCCGTCGATTTTAATCCGATACTCCAAAGGAATGTGAGCTGGTGGCTCCCTACGTTAGAACGCAGATGGTCACCTGACGTCACCTCCTCGCTCCTCATATGGAAAGTGTCAGATTAAAAACGACGGACAAAGGTGAGGTTCATTTTCACGAAGGTTTGTAATTATACTTATGACAGCGATAATGTCATAATTTGGAAAAAAAGGGTTACCGTAGATTGATTCATATAAATTCAATAGCGTTTAGATTTTGTGTTGTATTGAATGACTGGGCTGGGACTCTGTAACGAATAGAGATATTTTCTGTATCTCTATTGACGTACCCTGTGTATTGATTTTGAGAAAAGAGAAGAAAACAGCAAGTGCCATAGCGATAGGGATAACGATCTTTATCCGTTACAGAGTTCCAGCTCTGGTGGTTCAAAAACAGGCGAAGGTTTTTGACTTCAATAATTTGTTTCAGTACATTTTTATTTGTTAAAAAAGGAAGGCAAAAGTACAAGCCCTCGTGAAACAAACAGTAGTTATTTTTGAATTATAAAGGAATGACGACACAAATGATATCGGATCTTTTAAAAAAAAACAATCAAAGACTGCTATGGGTTTTCAAAGGTATGTCTAACATTTTTCTTCAATTTTGTCAATGAACTTCGATGTCAAAATGAAATGACATGTCAAAAATCGTGATTAATAAAAAAACACATGGATTTTTTTCTAATGTGCGATCGATCCTGCATGTCCGATAACCTAAAAGTACATTTTGACATTGTTTTAGGGCTGTCTGCGAAATTTGGAGAAAAAACAACAAAAAACAGGAAAATACTTGTTTTTTGCCATGGATCTCTTATCGACTAATATTATACAGTTTTTATTATGGAAATAGTCCAAGTACCTCAATATTTATTGGCAAAACAAATTTAAATTCTCCATTGGAATCATTCCTAGAGAATTAAATAAAAATTATTGATTAGCACATGAAACTTTTCTGTAGCAATACCCTGTAAAGTCCGTCGATTTTAATCTGATACTCGGAAGGAATGTGAGCTGGTGGCACCCTACATTAGAATGCCAATGGTCACCTGACGTCACACCTGTTTTTGCCATATACTTCACCCCCTCGCTCCTCATACCGCAAGTGTCAGATAAAAATCGACGAACAATATGTGGATAGCGAGGTGGATAGCTAAGTAAGGTGTTTTTCGAACTGTATTGAAATATTTATTAAAAAATCTCAATAACGAATCTTTTCAATTGTTGTATCAACATTAAGTTTTTGGAAATCTCAGAAACTGTCAAGATACAGGGTATTGGGTATACAGAAAGGTTTCATGTGCTAGTCGAATATTTTTATTTAATCGTCTAGGAATCATTACAATGAAGAATTTAAGTTTGTTTTACCCATAGACATTAAATATTGAGGTACTTGGACTATTTCAATAATAAAAATTGTATAATAATATTTGATAAGAGATCCATGGCTAGAAACAAGCAATTTCCTGTTTTTTGTTATTTTTCCTCCAAATTTCGCAGACAGCCCTA